CAAGAAAAGCCCAAATGGGGTCATGGAGAACTGGGCATGACCAAGCAACATATCTTCAACGTCCTGGCTGTCTCCTGTTTTTATTATGTCTCTCCACCCAGTTCCTCTTTCTACTGTTCTTGTTTCTTCCAAAGCTCAGAGGACCTTCTTTAGAGAGTCAAGAAATCTGCTTAGTGATAGTAGGGCTTCAGGTACAATATGGAGCTACCTGTGTGATCTAGGAGCCCCCACCAGAAACAAAAAGACTGGACCCTTAGTCATATTAAGAGAAGTACAGGCATGGTGTTCAGAGTGTTGGAGATAATAATGCCGGCTAGCATTTTTGTAGCACTTTAAAGTTTGCAAAGCACTTTACGTGTATTAGCTCATTTGATCCTCACAAAAACCATGCGAGGTAGGTGTGGATATTATTCCCATTTTGAGCTGTCCTTGGAGCCAGGAAGAACTGGATTCAAGTCCTGCCCCCAACACATTCTGGGTTCTGTGTGATCCTGGGCAAGTCACATGAAGTGCTGTAGGCTCTGTAAATCCCAGACTAGGATTTACAGAGAAGGTGCCAATCTACATGGGTAGAGGGAATTTCCTCCTCCAGACATCCCCTAAATCAGTGAAATTAATTCCTATCCCATTTTTCAGATGAGGAAAGTGAGGTTAAGTAACTTTCCCAGGCTTATATGGCAAATAAGTGTCTCAGGCAGGATTCAAACTCAGGTCCCCTTGATTCCAAGGCCAGCATTTTATGCACTATGCCACCTAGCTGCCTCTGGAGATTCTGGTCCTACTGTTCTTTGCATCTGGAATATTGTATGGAGATCTTGGTGTCATGTTATGGGAAGGAGGACACCCATAGGTTAAAGTACATCCAGATGATCAGAATGGGAGGACAGACAGTTGGCCTTAAGAAGATTGATTGAAGGGTGTTGGGGGGTTGGAGATATGGTGTCTGTCTTCAGGTATCTGAAGGACAATCACGTGTAAAGGGGATTCGGCTTGTTCTGCTAGGTCCCAGGGGGTAGAACTAGGAAGCCTTGGAGGAGTGTCCTCTGACAGCAGGGCCAATGCTCTTTCTTCTGTACTACGTGGACCCCTCATTACCTTCTAGCATTCTGCCAGCCCAGAGAGATCTCTCTTTTCTCAAATCTTTTGTATCACTTTACTTGGACTCATCACCAATAAATATTGCATTATAGTTGTATATATTTCTATTTTATATCCCCTGTGGGACTGTGAACTCTGTGAAAGCAGGAACTTTATGTTTCCCAGCTCTTTCTACTCTTTGAGCAGCTATGTGGTGCAGTGGATAGAGCACTGGGCCTGAAGTTAGGAAAACTCATCTTCCTGAGTTCAAATCTGGCCTCAGACACTTACTAGCTGTGTGACCCTGGGCAAGTCACTTCACCTTGTTTACCTTAGTTCCTTAACTGGAAAATGATCTGGAGAAGGAAATGGCAAATGGAATCACAAAGAGTTGGACATAACTGAACAGCAGTAGAACAGTGTCTGCCCCTCAGAATGCAGGTTGGGCCCTAAATGGAATAGGCAGTTGAGCTGAACAGACCATACAATGGCATAGGAAAGTCCCTTCTATTCTTTCAGCCTCAATTTTCTCATCTGTAAATGAGAGGTTGGAATTGATGGCCTCTATGCTTCCAGCTCTAATGCTATGGTTCTGAGCCCCTTGCTTAAGGACAAAGTGTGCTACAGCTCCACCACAGGGAGGGCTACTGATTCAAATCAATTTCTAGGCCTAAAAGGAGGAAAACAATGGAGAAAAATGTGAGGGAGAGGAAGCAGAAGCAGGGCAGAGAGACACTGACACAAACTTCTTCCCCAGTGGAGCTCTGTTTGCCTGGACTTCGACGACACAGTCTCAGCCCTACAAAAATCTCACCTGCTCCACAGAGTCCTCTCAGACTCCTGTCATGGAGGTTCTCTCTGTGTGCTCCAGAAGGCACAACCCTCACCAAACAGCTATCCTTTGCTCTGTACTTGGTGTGTGCCAAGGAAAGGCTTTGGCTTTGGCTCCATAGAAGGAAGGCTGGGAGGAGCTGTCCAACACTGCACGGTCTGATCCTATGTGAGTTCAGTTTTAAGACTTGCATAGTGCTTTCTTTATAGAAACCCTGTGAGTTGGGGAATGCAGGTGCTATTATTCATAGTTGCCTGAATTTCTCAAGCAAGCAGTGAGGAATAACTGCTAGGGCTTACAGCATATGTATGTGAGGACAGACATCAGATGGCAGCCTCAGGGTTGCTGGTTTTTGAGTTTGTATACTACAAAGGATGGACATGGTAATGGAAAGTGTAGGACAAAGAGCTAACGTTTGTGCCATGGGAGCAATTGTCTTGATTGAAGCTGTTCAGAAAATCGGATGAGAGAGTCTGGAAAGAGTGAGGAGGGTGAGTGAGATGATGACGGACAGGACCAGTATGGTGCTGGTGAGCCATAGTTGTGCATTGAGGTCTGATTTGAAAAGGGACTGGAGTGAGGGTGCCATGAGTTTTTCTAGTATCTTCTCCTCCTCTTAATAAAATGCCTAATGAAACAGTTTTTGAATAGAATGAATTAACTGTTAAGATCATATGTGGCCTTGTACCACTTATTTGAATCTAGCATTTCTGAACTTTCTTAGGTTATTTTGGGAAGGTAATGCCCAGGGGATGCATGTGTATGCATGTGTGTGTATGTGTATATGTACCAAAGGGTGACCAGAGCATGGGGCCTGCCTGACTTTGAGTGGTAAATTTGATGACCTTTTATAGGTGAGGGTCAGATCAGTGAATTGACTTTCCCAGGAGCACACAGCTAGTAAGTGGCACAGCAAAGACTCCATCTCAGGCCTCCTGACCCAAGTCCAACATTCTTCCCATTATACAATGCTGCTTGAGGGAGTGAGCATCTTGTCCCTGGAAAATATCCAAGCACAATCTGGACTGACTACCTTTTGGGGATACTGTCGAAGGATTTCTGCATTGGATCAGTCTAAATGACCTCAGAAATTCCCTTTCAGTTCTCTGATTTCTTGATTCTATATCCCAAGGGAGAATCCCAAGGACAGAGACCCCATTTTCTTGCCTTTATCTTACTCCACAGTGCCATGCTTGGAATTCTGCATACGAAGATGATCCATCGAAAGAGGGATGGAGCTTGGTAGTCTCTTGGTGGTGTCTGATCTGTGGACTTACTTTCAGATGCTTGGTTGACTTGTCTGATAAACAGATTGAGCAACGAGCATATGGAAAGGAGTCAGATGTGACAGCTGTCTCTTGAAATGATTTCAGGACATTAAATGGCTCTAGTGAAATAGACCTCTCATTGCATTCCAGTAAAGATTCAGACATGTCAGAGCTAGGAAGGAGCTTAGAATCGTAGTACTGCAGCTACCCCATGCTCTGTGTGTGTGTGTGTGTGTGTGTGTGTGTGTGTGATGCATCTCTTTGGTAGTCTCCTGAAGCCTATGGACCTCTTCTCAGAATACTGTTTTAAAATGCCTAGTATAAAACACATAGCATCACAAAGGAAACTAACTGAAATGAAATAAAGTTTTCAAGATATTTTTGAAAAACCAAATTCATGGACTCCACATTAAGAACCCCTGCTTCAGAGAAAATCCCTCAGTCTGAATTTTCAAAGTTGAGTTCTTTTGAGCGATCTAATTCTGGAAGCCCATCTTTGCATTTGGCTCACTGAGAATGCATACCAATCCTACTACCTTCACAGCCTTCTATTGCGGTCCTAGTCAGAATGTTAAAACACAGAATTCTGGGGTTAAGTGGCACCTTAGAACTCTCTTGTCTCACCCATGCCTCTTGGAACCCTCAGCTCCTTTCAAAGCTCTATCCAAGGGATACCTCCTTCATGAGTTCTTTCTCAAATCTTCTTATAGTGCCCTCTCTTTTCAAATTATTTTGTAGGCTTTTTTTTTGACAGGCTGTCTCCCTATCTCACCCAGGCTGGAAGTGCACTAGTTACTTAGGGGCCAAGTCCCACTGCTGATTGACACAGAAGCTTTGCTCTGGTCCAATTCTGACCTGAGCTAGTCCATCCCTCCTTCGGCAGACTAATGGCTGCCCCTCACCCCACTACCGGGGGTTTGCCAGATTAGTGTTAGACTTTGTATATACGCCTCATCAGCTTTAGCTCTTCTTAAAGTCAGAATTGAGTTCAAGTGATCCATCAATCTCAGTCTCCCTCTTAGCAAGGATTACAGGTATGTATCACACCCAGATATTTTGTGCACACACACACACACATACACACACACACACACACACACGATTTATTTATCTGTGTACACATTGGACTTTCTCCTCCATTCCCTTCCCTTTCCTCCTCAGTAGAATAAGACTTTCTCAGGACCATGTCATTTCTATCTTCATACCCACAGTGCCTTGCATATCGTAAATGTTCAAAAAGTGTTTCTCTGATTGATGAAATGAACATGGAATGTCAGAGAGGATCTTAGACTACAGAACATAGAATTTCAAGGCAGGGAGAGACCTTACAGACAGAGTCCAGTTGTTCCCAACCTTTTCAAGTTTGGATTTGTCTTTTTAACATGAAAAAGTTTTCATGGATGCCCTTTTGGGTAGTTCTATGATTAGTGTCTGTTGAGGGAGTAGCTTTTTGTCAGTGGGAATTTTCTCAAAGTTAAAAATGCTTCTAGAAGAAACTGCATTTTATTTATTGTAATGGCATTTATATATATATATATACACACATATATATTTGAAAAACAATAATGTATCTATATGAAGCATACTTATTTAGCCTGTAGCAGGAATGTTTGCTTATTTATTACTCTGAATCATTCAGTGAGATGACAGTGGTTGATACATGAGGTGGGGGAACTGCTGAACTTATCCAAACTTGCTGTTTTACAGATGGAGAAACTGAGGCCCAGAGAAGAGAAGGAATTAAATGCCTTCAAAGTTTCTCAGCTCTTTAAATACAACTTAAATCAAGTTTCAATCTTATTGCACATTAGTGCCATGGATACCTGCTTTTGTTGGGAAGAGCACAGAGGTCTTCCATCGCTGGCTCAAATGTACATGCTGGCCTTTGATCTGTTAGCAGGCTTGTCAGCAGATGAACACTGGAAAGACACATGGATGCCAAAAGTTCAAAAGCACAGAAACTGGAAGCTCATTAGGCAAGACATTTAGTCCCCAAAATAGTCTTATTCAGTACCTTTCATCCTCCAGGCCCTATCTAGTCATTAGCTAATGAAATGAGCTCATTAGGGAAAGGGCAGAATGGCGGTGGCTACAGTCAGCAGGAAAGCTTTGGAACTCACCAACTCAGAGGCCCCTAGGTGGTCCCTGATTTGCAGTGGAAGTAACTCACTGTGGCGTAAGAGGAAGGCAGATCACTTAGCTATGAAGTTTCCTTTCTGACTGGCAGAGAGTGGCTTGAAGCTTAGGAGATGGGGAAAAGTTTCTTTAACCTCTAGTGCAGGCAGTGAGTCGTAGTGAAAAGGGAACTGGATCTACTTAGCTTAGGTTGAAGAGAGTCAGTTCCAATTTTCTTTACTGACTTTCCAAATGACCTTTAACAAGTCTCTCTGTGCCTCTGTTTTTTCTCCCTTTGTTAAATTGAGATTTGGTCTCGGGAGATGAAACAGAATTAGATAACCTTTCTGCTTGACTCCAGAAGGCAAAACTAGGCACAATTCTCACTGTTCGTAGATTCTGGCTTGCTGAAAAGCAACATGGGATACTGGCCTTGGAGTGAAGAGAGAAGTGGATTTGAATACTACCTTTGACTTTTTACTAGCCATATGGCCTTGAGAATGGGAAGTCACTTATGCTTTCTTAGCATTGGTTTTCACAAATGTAAAATGGGGCTAATAACATCTACAAAACCTAATTTCACATGGTTTTTGTGTATGTAAAGCATTTTGTACAACTTAAGCCATCATATAAATATCAGCTTTAATTAAATTATTAAAAGCTGAACTTTTTAGTAATTAGAGCTTTCCAGTAATTGAATAGCTCATGCGGCACATAGCAGGCATTTAAGTGATTGTTTGCTTGATTAGACTGCCTGCCACATAGGAGGGATGTTGTAAATGGGATGGCTACTCAGGGGTGTGGACAAATTTCAGTCAGACTTGGAGTCTTTCTGAGGTTGGAGGCTCTGGGGAGGTATTTACCACTTGGAGAAGGTAGGACAGGAAGGACCCAAAGGAACTGAGAACCTTTCCCCCTTCTCTCTAGTCTCTAGACTAGGTGCCTGATGACAGCTTGGGGTGGGGAGGGAGGGCAGGAGATATTGGAGAAAATGATTTGAAGGAGCTATTTGAAGAAAGAAGGTTCACAATAGGTGATTAATGAATGATTGTTGGTGCATTAATTGATTTGTCTTGGACTGTAACAGCAAGGAGATGGGGGGGGCAAATATACCATTTGAGGAATTGAATTCAGACTTAAAAGACCTAAGAGGATTGACCTGGTATAACTGACCTGTCCTGAACAGGTGATCACTGAAGGAAGATTTTGGGTGGGCAGATCAGCTATGGGATTGGATGGGATATTATTCTAGTAATGTCAGTGACTCCTTCAGGAAGCTCAACTGACAGCTGTCATAAGATCATAGGATTTAGTACTGGAAGGGACCTTAGAAATGATCTAGGTTAACTCCCTGATTTTACAGATGGGGAAACTGAGGCCCAGAGCAGTTAAATGACTAAGGAGCAGAGCCAATATTAAAACCTATTCCTTCCAACTCTGAGGATTGAAGAAGAAATGACTTACCCAAGGTCGTATAAGTCAGTCGCAGGATGGGGGACTAGAAACCAGGTTTAAAACATTCAGTAAATCATAGAATCTTAGAATTGACCACAGCCTTGAAGGTTACCTAGTGGAATCTAGTAAATCGTAAGATTTAAAATGTTTAAAAGTGAGGAGTTATTCACCTTTTTTTGCGTCATGGGTCCCTTCGGAAGTTGGGTGAAGCCTATGGACCCCTTCTCAGAATAATGTTTTTAAATAGAAGAAATGCTAAATTTCAATTAGAGGTTACTGAAAATAAAGTTGCAATTTTTCTCCATACAAGTTCATAGATTCCCTGAAGCCCAAGGGGCTCTATCACACCCCCTCTTTAAGAACAGATCTTTGGGCCCTGACATCATCTCCACTACTCAATTTACTGAGTGAGTGCTGAGCTCAGAGACAGGAAGGGGAAAGTATCCAGGGCTATATTTAGATTCCCCATGGCTAACTGTACCCCTCCCTCATTGTCTTCCCCACTAGTGACAGACACATCCAGGTCCTGTGGCCAGTGTGGCTTTCACCAATGATCACAGTTCAATTAGGGGGTGGCATTGCCATTGAAAGACTGTCAAATTTGGAACCAGAAAGCTTGGGTTCAAATCCTAAATCTGTCACTTACTAGCTAGCAGACCCAAAACAGATCACTTCCCTCTGGTGGGTCCCAGTTATCTCCTCTGTAATATGAGATGGTTGAACTAGGATGCTAAGGCTCCATCCTGCTCTAAAATTCTATGCAACTCAGTTCTAGGAATCCAACTTCGTATTTGGCCTGAAGCATTGAATGTAGGCTACCTGGTTACTGCTGCCCCAGCCTTCCACATCTAGCAGGCCCTGATAACTGGGAGGCATCATCTTTAGACCTACGCACAATGAACCCACGAGAGCCACCTTTAGCTTCAATCTGTGTGAGGTTGTAGAGTCTCATGGGGAATTGACAAAGCATCCTGTTTCTCTGCTCCATTGACTTATTGAATTTGATTAATGATTCTAATGTTCTCATTATCGTGTCAAACTTCCCAGCAACAGTCTTCCCTAAAGCCAGAGAGCATTGAACTCCCTGCCTTGTTTTCTCCTCCTTTTCTCTTACCTTTTTTCCTTCCTCTCTGCCCTCCTTCTCTCATTCTCTTCTGTCATTTGTCCTTCTCTGTAATCTTTTCTCCTTCTTTTCCTCCCTCCTTAATCCTCTTTCTCCATCATTTTCTCCTTTTCCCCTTCATTCTTTTCTCCCTTTCTCTCCCTCTATCCGTTCTCTTACTTTCCCTCCATCTTTTCTCTACCTTTCTTCCCTCCCTCCTTCATTCACTTCTATTCTCTCATCCCTTTTACCTCCTTCTCTTTTTCCTCCCCTCTTTCTCCCTCTCTCCCTTCCTTTACCCTCTGTCCCCCTATCTGCTTCTCTCTCTCCTCTTCTGTCTTCCTCCCCCCTCCCCTTCTTCCTCCCACTCTCTCCCTCCCTTGCTAGAAGATTCAGGACAGGTTCCAGTGCATGTGGCAAACTGAGAATTCAACATTGGAGATGCCAAAAATACATGTTTTGTATCTCTTTCCTGGCTGGGAAAATACTGTGGCCAATTAAGAATGAACTTTAAAAGAAATGAACATCTTGCATGCCAGGTTTCAGCTGAATGTCACTGAAATGGGCTAGATTACTACCATCTGAAAAAGCATCTTAATTATGAAGATGCTATTAGGAGCAATTCTTATTGCCCTGGTTGCAGGGAAAAAGCCACAATGACCCACATTCTTCAACATTAAGTCCAGATTTTGGAAGAAAAGGGGTGCAAAAGAATGTTTTCCCAGGGGACCCACTCTCTGATCCCCAAAGTGCACTTTCTTCCCGCACAATGCCAAGAGTATTTGAAAGGCAGAACACCAGAACATGGAGCCTTCCCAAATCCATGATGTCCTCCACCTCCATTTCTCCCAGGAAGCTCAGAGGAGGTGGCAGGCAAAGCACTGAGACAAGGAAGATGGGCAGTGTAGGAATAAAAGGACCAAAGAGGTCAGAATAGGGGAAGCAACTGCAGCCATGCAGCAGAGACAAAGGTGATTTCCCCTTCTTATGAGAGCAGGGAGTCTTTAAAACTTGATGGCAGCTTTCCCCTGCTGCTGGTCATCTGATCTGGCTGCTTGTCTCTACTATGGCCAGGTAGGTTATATTATCAAATGAAGTGGTTTGTATTTCACAGCTGAGACACTGAAAAAACAAGTGGAAAGAAGGATTTCCTCATCTGAAGGGTTGAGACACTGCTCTTTCTGTGTGGTCCTTTTAGAACCTTCCTGTTTGGGTTTGGGTCCAGTGAATCATGCCATATCCCTGTATTTCTGGAAGATTAGGGATTCCTAGGAAGGGGGATCCATTAGGTGATATCTATCCAGACAGTAGAGGGGCATGTGGAGCTAGTGAGAGCTGGTCAGATTCTTATGGGAAAGTCCACATTGATGGAACCTCTTTGCAAATTAGGCTCCATTAGTTGTCATATGAAAAGAAAAGCTCTGAGGTTGTCTCTACTGTCATTGTCACTATGTTCACTTGAGGAAGAAGTGAGACCTCTTATTCAATGAAGTCTAACACTCACCATCACTTCCTTCTGCTTTCTTTACCTCAACACAATAGGGATTGGAGGAGAGACAATGTGGTACAGTGGGAAAGAAAGCTAGATTTGGGGCCAGACAACAGGGATGTTAGAACCAAACATCCTGGTTCTGCCATTTCCCCACTGAGCAAGTGGCTTAACCTCTCTAAGCCTCAGTTTCCTTATCTGTAAAGTGGACTAAGTAGCTCTAGGTTTGTGATCATATACCCTCCTTTCAAGGCAATCCTGGGCAGATGTCCCTGTAGCCTAATACAGTATGAAGATCTGAAATGCTATGTGAACTTGAGGTAGTCTTTTCCCCATTCTGGGCCTCAGTTTACTCTCTTGTAAAATGAAGAGTTTGGAAGAGATGATTCTTTAAGGTTTTCCCTAGCTCTAAAGCCTATGGTCTTATGCTCCTCTGTCTATATGGGCAGTCTCAGCAGAATTTTGGCTAGGGATTCTGTTGTGTGAGGGTGGCATCCATATTAACAGGGCAAATATCTCTCTACTGTCTGGATCCTCTGGCAGGACTTCCAACTGGAGTAGAATGGCTTCAAGAGCTTCTCAATTTCCTGGAACCCTTCAAAGGGAAAGATTATGCTAGGCCTGAAAAAGAAGCCCCACCCACCCTACCATGGAGGGTATTATGAATTTAAGCCACTATGATTATTCAAACCAGGGTAAAAAAGAAAAAAAAGAGAAAAATGCGACTAAAACACTCTAAAAATCTACTTGATGTATTT